ATAGATGAAGAATGGGAGAGAATGTGAGCGGATGGCGAAAGAATATGAGAGAATGAGGGATGGATGGTGGAGCATGGGGGAGGAATGCGGAGGATTGGCAAGAATTGGAGGGGATTGGTTAAGAATGGGGGTGGATGCGTGAAGAATTGAAGGATTGGAGTGGAAATAGGGGGGCGGATGGGGAGCGGACATGAGATCTGAATGGGGTTTGGCAGAAGGAAGGGAAGATCTGAAGGGGGGTTGGTAGGGAAGAGGGAAGTGGGGTATATGCAGCAGCGGAGAAAGAAACAATTGAATGCCTGCCAAGTGAGCGAGAAGTAAGAAAGTGAGTAAGAGGGTGAGTAAGTGAGAGAATTGTGAGTGAGTGAGAGGGAGTGTGAGAGAGTGAGAGGGAGTGTGAGTGAGTGAGTCGGAGTGGGTACATGGAAATCTGCTCTGGTTCTCACCGGACGGACGGTACAGCATTGTTTGTCTGCATCCACATGTACGGACACGTGTGTGCGGCTCACTCTACCCAGCAACGGCCAGCACAGCCCCTCCCCGTCACCGCGTGGACCACCACCTCCAGCATGATAAGCAGCGACAGCAGCAGCAGCAGCAGCACCACCACCACCAGCAGCAGCACCAGCAGCAGCAGCAGCAGCAGCAGCCAGACAAGCTGAATCCTCACGCGTCACCAGATCGCGCCGTCCGATTACGTTCGGACCGCGGAGCAGCGGAATTCGCGGGCGGAGCGGGCAATCTACGTAGCGTTGCCCGGAGGAGGCGGAGGCGGAAGAAGGAGAAAGAGAGCGCACGGGGAGGAGAAACGCGACCGGGGTTGCGGAGCTGGGTTCCCACGAGCGGTGAGGAGGAGGAACGGGAACCATGATGGCTGTGCGAGTCGCTTCAGTTCCGCTGAGGCAGAAGCGTGCCGTTACCCGTGGAAAGTCGAATTTGGAATGTCCCGACGTGACTATAATGCCGCTCGTTTGCACAGTGGATGCAGAATATTAAATCGGCCAAGAAACTTTACTGATGCGGGTCGGGCCCTGCCGAGCCGATGTGGGCTTGGCGTGAGTATGAAAAGGCAATTAATCGTTAGCGTGGTGCCGCTGACAAGGCAACGAATGTGTTACACTTTGTGTGAACTCGGCAGCCCTGATTGGTGGACGAGATGCCGTTGTCGGGTAGTGCACTTTGTAACATTCGTCGCATCCACGAAAATTTTGTGTGCTGCTGATTCCAAGCTTCGGCCAGATCATTTTAGGAAAAAAACACCAGACAAGTGCTGGGGCGACAAGTGCTGTTTGATATGCTGTTCTGCTGGAGTTCTCGTCGCCACACCGCTGGTGGTTTGGTAAATTTCGCAATGACTTCAGGTGCCTTTTTGGTTGACTTGGCAATACATGGGTCTCATTCTGTTTGCGCATGAGCAGTTCAGGCCTTCTGCACAAGCACTGCGGGATGGGTTTTCCTCGAAGGGGTCAACCCTCCCGCGGCCTCAGAGAAATTTTCCGATAACGACAAAACGGTTTTGACAACAGCCCATGTATTTTCCGTTCACCATGCCCAGTCTGCCCAGGATGCTCAAAATGTATCATCTCAACCAGTCACAAATCTTCAACCTTTGGGCTCACCCTTGCTTCTCGCGTGGTATATTTTTTCTGGTGAAATATTTCATCGCAAAGTTTCCCAAAATCGGGCGTTCAGACCTGCCCGTTATTGGTTGTGCGTCCCCTATTCTACCTCGGATGGGCGGATAGGGTTCGCACGAGCGGTGCGTCCAGTTTGCCCGTAACAGAAATTTCCCAGTAAGGTCCGAACGCACTAGTGGTGATGCGTTCTTGAACCCTTGGGCGCACAAGAAAAGCTACCAGGTTCGGTACACAATAACGAATTGGGAGGCTCGACATGGGCTTTAAGCTCTGTCAAGCGCGTTCTTAGAATATTCCTCAAAGGGGCCAAGCACCCCGAATGCGGCAACAGAACGATACCATGAAGGTTCGTATTAACCGAGGTAGCTTCTAAATGAACAGCTCAGCCAAACTCGGGTCTGCCCTTTTGGACACGGTCTGGCAAAATGAGAATCGAGGGTAACTCATCTTCGTAAAATCAACAATTTGAATTTCTTGATCAGTCATACATGAAATATTTATTGAGAAGATCGAGCAGCAAGTACGTGAGAAGATTTTCTTGAAATCTGAACGCGGTCAAGTGTTGGACGTTCAAGCCTACCACGAGCTAAAAATTGGGCTGATGGTTTCCGCCTCGCACCAGTGGTGCGGAGGTGATTCCACCTCGAGAGGCCGCACCAGTGGTGCGGACCATTTGCCTGAGTGGAAATGACGTGGAACAAACGGGCGGTTATGGTAGAGTGTCACAAAAGTGCTGTTGTGCAGGTTTTCTCGGTTTTCTTGATGCGCTCAGCTTCGGACAATGCCCAACCTGAACCGAAGCACCACTGGTGCGGACGGAAGAATCCGCGAAGGCCATTGTTGGCCAAAAGAATAGCGCCGTTACGAAGGGAAATTGGGACAGGGAGGGAACCCCAAAACATAATATTACAAACAGCACATGCCACGCGCCCAAACACACACCTAGAAAGTAACCTTCCACTAGCATAGTACAAGAATCTGACCTAGTTTCACCCAGAAACAAATAAAATCATGGTATACCAAACAAACCATCACTACTGCAAATGATCTACATTCTCTAAGCTCTACCCCACCACTTATAAGGCGTACGAAATTCGCCTCCGTAACTCACCCATTGCCTCCCCTCCAGACTTGCCACCCTCATCACAGTCAGCGCTCCAAGCCACATGGCGGCCCCTGGATGCTTCCCCACAGCCCCCGTCGTTGGAACCACCAACACCACCATCAACCTCCCATGGCAACACGATCCGCGTGGCCGAACCGAATTCAGCTGGCGAAAACGCCAAATGCTTCTTCGACAATTTCGCCAGCCTGCTGCTCTCCCCCTCGCTATCAGGAGCTTTCAACGAAGAGTTCGCACTCTTCGAACCTTTCCACCCACTCAGCCGCGGCGAGCTCTGCTCAGTGTAAGCCTTGGACCTAGCCCCAGGAGCCATAGGCAGAGCAGCCATGCGTCTCAGCCGGGTCTGTCCTCCTTTCCATGAGTCCCCGGGCGAGCAACCCCCATCGGACTCATGCTCTTCTGTGCTGTCCAGTTCCATCGTCATCTTTCCGTTACCCCTCTCCTCCATCCACGAGCTCTTCAACGTGCCATTCTTTGAACTGGCTCCGAGACGCCCCTGCAAAGGCCCAGAGAAGGAGCACTTGTCGTCATCGCTGCCTTTCCCCAATTGTTTATTACCTCTGGACACCTCTCCAGCAGCAGAAGCAAGCAAGTCGATAGCAGGAGGAACAGCGCCAAAACCAGCGTCCCACATCCCCTTGTTGCCAGATGCCGTCCTGGGACTAACTGGAGGCCGTCCCGCCTTCCCTCCCCCTCCATTAGTCCCCTCACTCCCTCCCTTGCGCAAGGCGCGAAGAGCGGCAGCAGCAATTTCCGTCGCTGCCTCTTTACCCGTGGTCGAAGCTCTTCCTATGAGCAACCCCAGCCTGCTTCCTTCCTGCTGGTCCGACGCTGCTGCGTCATTCCTCGGGTGCAGCCACTTCACCGTGGGTGCTTTAGCAGTGATGACAGCTGCTCGTGCTAGCGGTGCTCGCGCTCCTCCTGCTCCTGCTCCCGCTCTTTCTCCCGCTGTTTTCAAATCCTCGTTACTACCGACCCGTTTACGGAGACGAGGCGTCCGTTTCCGTTCCCAGGATTCAACCACTGTCACGTCGTCCGGACAGCTCTTTACTGAGGTCGTCCTTGCAAAGCGGGTCCTAGGGTTCACAGCACCGCCATTCTCATCCTCATCCTCGTTATAATCCTCATCAATAAAATCGCCGTCTTCGTTGCTGGTGTGGGCACTATACGCGCTTCCAGACTCCGAGCCGCCGCTGTCGCCAAGCCCACGTCCCTTCGCCTGATTATTACGTCGCCTCGCTCCCTCCCCGCTCTCGACGTCACTCGTCTCAGGACTGCAAGTGGACTGAATCGATATGGACTGGAAAAACGGTCCGATCGTAGACCGCGGAGACGGCTCACTAACGCCGGATTTCCCAGACCCACGTCTCTCCAACCCTCTCGTTCCCGCGAGCGCAGCACCACCATCACCTCCCCGCCCGCTCCCGCAGCTTCGCACACCGGGAGTCTCCGCATCGAAGTTGAACTCGTCCTCCTCCTCCTCGTCATCCGTATCGATGTCATCCAAAATCAGCAGCCGCACGGGGGCCCGCACGTCTCCTCCGCCGCGCTCCAACAGCTGCTGCCGCTGCCGCTCCGCCTGCTGGATCCGCAGCAGCCGCAGCTGCTGCTGCTTCTGCAGCCTCTCCTGCTTCTGTATCGCCCGCTGCAACTGCTGCTGTTCCTCCTCCACGGCTTCGCACAGCCCTTCGATCTCCGGCGGAGGGGGGTCGAACCCGGGAGTGAAAATAGCCGAGGCTGGAGACATGGCTGGCAGTGCCATTAAGTACATTAAGTCGCTGCTGAAAGAACCAGCGGACCGCGGCCGCCAGCCGCTTCCGCCGGCGCCGCCGCCGTCGGCGGCACAAGGAGACCCAAGGGCGCGCTGAGAGTTGCTGATTCTGGCGGTGAGTTTCGCTCGAGCCGCCTGGAGTTTACTTGTTGCCGATAGAGCGGCTGATGCCGCTGCTGATGCCGCAGACGCCGCTGCTGCTGATGCCACAGATGCCGCCGCTGCTGCTGCCGCTGCTGGTGCTGCTGCCGCTGCTGCGGCCGCCACTGCTGGCGCAGAGTCCAGAAAGTTGTTGAGGCGATTGCTGCGCGTGTTGGCGGATCCACCCAGGCGCGCAAGCTGCTGCTGCTGCTGCTGCGGCTCCGGCTGCGGCTGGCTCTCCGGGCTCGCGGCGAGTGTGGCTCCCTTCCGCCCGGCGCCGCGGGGTAAACTCCCCGTGATCCTGCGACTGATGTTACAAGCGAAATTGCTAGCGCCGCTTCTGGAGAAACTCGGGATTGAGGCAGGTGACGGCGAAGCGCTCAGTTGATTCTCGTCCTCTGAATTCTCGTCTGGAGGTTGAGTCTCCGCGTTGTTCGCGGCGCTCGCGGAGTTTGCGGCGGTCGCGGAGTTTGCGGCGCTCGCGGAGTTTGCTGGGGGTTGCGGTTGCGGCGATGGCAGGCTCACGCGGCTCGGGCGTCGCACCATCGTGGCGGTGCGGTCGAGATTGGCGGGGCGACGGAGCGTGGAGTATAGAAGCTTCCACGCAACGTGCGCGTGCAGGATCACCGCCTGCGCCTCTCGCTGCGAGAACGGGGAGAATCGGACGGTCGAGATGGACTGTGACGCGCCGCGGAAGAGGCCTGGTGTACGGCGGGGGTGGGAGCCAGGAAAGAAAAACGATAGGATTAGGATTATATGGCCAGCATCATGCGTCGAATTAGTGACGCGTAACGAGATGGCTAATAACGGGCCGAATGAGGAGCGATAAACAAATCGACGCGAACAGACTAATTTCTGGGGGAGACATATCAGACACAGTACCACTACTGACTCCTATCGCCAGTTGCGCGACACTACCGCAAGGGGGGAACCGACGGACCACCGGAAACGGGAAAAGGTAGTAAAGTAAGGACCGTCCACGTACCGTTCTCGTATCGGCCGGGCACGGTCGTAAATCCGGACTGCTGTACCCATTGAATGACCTCCGCGATGCGCCTCGCCAGCCCTCCCGTGGCGACTGAGCCGCCGGCGGGAGCCGTTCCCGGCCTGCCAACGTAGGATCCTTTGCGGAAAGTGGTTCTAGCCGACGCGCCGTTGCATCTCGTGCCGACGATCAACGGATCGTCCGCTGCGATCACTAGAAGCTTGTGCGACACATCTGCGTCGCCGAAAGGGGCCTCGTCATCGCCGTCACGGCCCCCGGCGCTGGACCTCCCCGCGGCGTTCGTCGCCGAGCGGTAGGGTCGCACGGGGAAGGCGAGGAGCGGGAATACCGCGTACGCGTCGCCCGGCTCGCGCACCTGCGACCCGATTTCGATCGCGTCGACGGGAGCGTAGTCGAAGAACGGCGTGCTCACGCTATCGTCATCGCGGTCGCCGGGAGGCGCGGTCGCGGTCGCATCGACACGTGGCGCCGCGGTTGTACTTTCCGCTCTAGCGTTAGCACTGATAGCGCGGTCTGCGCCGGCGGCAGCGGAAGCCGTGCCATCGGACGCGGCTCGGCTGTTCGCGGCGTTACAAGAAGCGAGAAGACACGTTTGCGGCAAAACCCCGGAATTCCAGGAAACCAACGGCGCGTATTGCGTGGGTGTCAAGGGACACGACGAGCCTCCGCAGCCTGAGCCGCTGGTGCTGTTCGAGATTGGAAACGCGGCGCTTCGTGCCTTGGGAGTTGTGGGAGCTTTCGGCGATTTCAAAGTTCGAGGGGAAGTCTTCGAGTTAGTCGGGGCAGCCGGGAACCCAGAAATCGTTTTTGCCGACGACGAAGCCGTCGCCGGGTTTGACGGAGGGATTTCAAGCGGCACGACGCGGCCGTCGAGGAGAAGCTTCCGGCGGCGCGTGACGAGGGAGAAGAGGCACTGCTGACTGGCGTTGCCGTTGGCGTCGCGATTGGCGTCGCTGCCGGCGGTGCATACGAACGTGCAGGTGCCGGCACCGCTGGCACCGCTGGCACCGCCGGCACCGGCAACACCGCCGCCGTCGTCGCCGCGGCTTTGGGCGCCAGCGATTTCCGGAAAGAGGAGCACGTCGTGCCAGATGGAGGTAATCGCGCGGGAGGTAAAGAGCGGTAAGATGTTTCCGCTCACGTGGCCCTCCATAGCGCTAATATTGCTCGCAGTAACAGCAGTGGTAGCGATAGTTACCACAGCAGCTAACAATCACATGTGGGACTGTCGAAGTAATGCCACAGTCATGCGCTTACTAGTAGTAGTAGTCCCAAAACGGGTTATGAAATGAAGGGGATGACAAAGCGTGCGGCTATCGAAGAAATGCGCGAGAGATGGCACTGCTGAAGCCAGCTGGAGCTGAAGAATTGTAAAGAAGTGGTGGTATGGGATGAAGAATTGCTTGTTGAAATATTTGAGCTGGGTTTGCGGGCAACGGATGAGAGGAATGACTGGATTCATGTGGGAACAGAAGCAGCACCCAGTGACAGCATTGTGCTCACGTAGTGTGCCTTGATACAGTGGCGTAACATCTGGACGCGAAGTTATTCTCGCTCACGCGTACAACTTCCGGTCTGCTCGTGTTTTGTATTTACATGTCCATGTATTGATTGTGTACAGAGCAGGAAAACTCGAGGCAAGTCTGCCGTTGGGCTGGGCTTCGCATTCGCTGACAAGACGCTACAAGGTTTGATGAGAAATTATATGAGAAGTCACACTTAATCCCAGTTTATCACGTTTGGTGACAGGGGCATCACAAACAGTCATAGTACAGTAGATTTCTATCGCGGGTGATCACAGTTCTATCACGGATGGTCACACCTCGCACCGAAAAGCTATCACGTTTGGTCACTCGTTGAAACGGTCGATAGAAAGTTGAAACTACTCAAGTCACTGTAGGGATTCAAGGAAAGTTTTCTCGCGAGAGCCGTTTTGTCCGTAGTATTACGAAATAGTTTTGCGACAACTCTCAGTAACTCGTTAAAAACATCTGCAAACCCTGATTTACTATTTGATGTCAACTGTTCGAATGATGCCCATTGACCCTAAAAATATCACTTTTAGACGGGTAGAACTCGAGGGGTATTTCTCCTACCCAGACAGAAAAAACTAAAACCCATTCGGATGGGATTTAATTCGGGATGCATCAACCCTAAACACCTTGTCGCATGGTGTTTAGGGTTGGTACCTCCCGAAGAACGTGCCATCATATAGGGGTTTAAATTTTTCTTCATTCCCCTAAATGTCAGGCTAGAATCATGCGCGAGGTAATAAGGAATCAAGATTGGGATTCCCCAAAATCTCTACAGTATGTGGTTTCGAATTATTATCGTTTCATCGAGTGATCAAACGTGATAGCTTTTAGGGCGTGTTACATTTTTTTAACTACAGCCCGTCCGGGCAGGCAGTCGTCCAGACTTTTGTGTGGTTACCTTTCTCGTTGTGTTTCGTGAATTGCCTCGTTAGACCACTTGCGACGTCGTTAACGATCGGACCGGTGATGGAACAGTTTGCGCGAATTGCCTTCCCAAATCGACCGGGCGATTACAGTTCGATTAGTGGACGGACGTAACAGTAACGCAAATTCATTGGTCAACGATTCAAGTCTTCAAGTCGCTTCGGTGTTGCCTTTATCGTAATCTGTTCGTGATCGTGGTTACAACCTCGCAAACATTCGAATTTTCGTCAGGTTGAAAATGTTTCATCTACAACGTCGGACGAGATTTAGTCCGGACGTTGGACTCGTACTGCCCGAAATTCGGAATCTGAACCTTCTCGGACGGTTGTCCGGACTTAGTCAGTTTTAAAAAATGTAACACGCCCTTAGAAGCGAGGGAGAACATCTGTAATAGCACTGTGATCACTCGCGATAGGGATGTACTGTACTGTGACTGTTGTCAGATTTATATGACATAGCCACTGTAGGCTATAGTGAGGAAGCACATATGGGGTACAGTTTTCTAGGGTTTGCTTTTGTACCCAACTTTCCCTTAGTCAATTCATTCCTCATTTCTTCACATGGTATCAGAGCAGGTTCCCTAGTGGGAACGCTTCCTTGGGCCCACCACTGAAACCTTTTTTTTTCTGACCGGAGCGACAGTCGCTCCTGCCCGAGGCGCGCCTTGTGGGCCGCCCTTCTGTCGAGCTCTCTTAGAGGCCCCTCTCACGGCCCCTCGCGCCACCCTTAGCGGCCCCGTCGCCGCCCCTAGCGGCCCCGTCGCCGCCCCTAGCGGCCCCGTCGCCGCCCCTACGCGGCCCCGTCGCCGCCCCTAGCGGCCCCGTAGCCGCTCCCCTCCCTACGCGGCCCCGTCGCCGCCCCTACGCGGCCCCGTCGCCGCCCCTACACGGCCCCGTTGCCGCCCCTTGCGGCCCCGTCGCCGCCCCTAGCGGCCCCGTCGCCGCTCCCCTCCCTACGCGGCCCCGTAGCCGCCCCTACGCGGCCCCGTCGCCGCCCTTACGCGGCCCCGTCGCCGCCCCTAGCGGCCCCGTCGCCGCTCCCCTCCCTACGCGGCCCCGTCGCCGCCCCTACGCGGCCCCGTCGCCGCCCCTACGCGGCCCCGTCGCCGCCCCTAACGGCCCCGTCGCCTCCTCCCTCCCTACGCAGCCCTGTCGCCGCCCCTACGCGGCCCCGTCGCCGCCCCTAGCGGCCCCGTCGCCGCCTCCCTCCCTACGCGGCCCCGTCGCCGCCCCTACGCGGCCTCGTAGCCGCCCCTACGCGGCCCCGTCGCCGCCCCTAGCGGCCCCGTCGCCGCTTCCCTCCCTACGCGGCCCCGTCGCCGCCCCTACGCGGCCTCGTAGCCGCCCCTACGCGGCCCCGTCGCCGCCCCTAGCGGCCCCGTCGCCGCTCCCCGCCCCTAGCGGCCCCGTCGCTGCCCCTACCCGGCCCCGTCGCCGCCCCTAGCGAGCAGCCGAGCCGCCGAGCCGCCCAGCAGCTGAGCCGCCGAGTCGCCCAGCAGCCGAGCCGCCCCTGGAGCAGCCGCCACTGCAGCAGCCGCCCCTGGAGCAGCCGCCACTGCAGCAGCCGCCCCTGGAGCAGCCGCCACTGCAGCAGCCGCCCCCGGAGCAGCCGCCCCTGGAGCAGCCGCCTCTGGAGCAGTCGCCCCTACAACTGCCGCCCCTGGAGCAGCCACCCCTGCAGCTGCCGCGGAGCTCTCGCTCTACAGTGGTAGCGGCCTCGCCGTTGCCGCCGTCGTACGCCTGCCCTTCTCGCCACTGGTGAGCACTGCCCTGCCCGTACTGCTGTTACTGCTGCTCTTACTGCTGCTGCTCTTTCTACTGCTACTGCTGCTCCTGGCGTGGCCAGATGCAGCTCCAGCGTCGCCCGCGTGAGTCCCTCACCCCCCAACAGCTTCGTGCGTGGTACGCTAGTTGGGGTTGTCGGGGTGGCCGTAGTGGGAGTCGTCCTGGAGTGAGTAGTTCCACAGCTGCTTGTAGTAGCCAGGTGCAGCTGCAGCGTCGCCCGCGTGAGTCCCTCACCCCCCAACAGCTTCGTGAGTGGTACGCTAGTTGGGGTTGTCGGGGTGGCCGTAGTGGGAGTCGTCCTGGAGTGAGTAGTTCGGCAGCTGCTTGTAGTGGCCAGGTGCAGCTTCAGCGTCGTCCACGAGCAGTCCTTTCGCCCCAGCAGCTTCGTGAGTGGTACGCTCAGCGTGACGGGTCACGGGGTACTGCTCGCTGTCCGTACGTCATTCGCACTGGTGCTCGGACTGGTCAGCCTTGCGGGACGTTGGGTCACGCAGAGTCCCGCTGCTTCGCCCGTCTGAGCGACGCCTGGCGTACGGAGTTTGGCGACGCGGCTGAGCTCCCCGACTGGGTGGAGCTGCTTCGGCTGCGGGTAGATATCTATACTCTTGACTATGATGCTATCCTCACTGCCATGTATGCATTGCCTACTAGTGATGAGGGTGACTGTTACCTGTGTGTTCCGCCTGACCCGGGCATTGAGGCTGCTGCTCTAGGTGCTGGTGAGGCTGCTGCTCTAGGTGCTAGTGCGTCTGCTGCCCCAGGTGCTGGTGAGTCTGCTCTCTCAGGTACCACGTCGTCTCCGGCCTTACACACCTTCACTCTTGACTCGGGTGATTCCCGCTCCTTCTTTCGAGACCGCACCACGCTTACGCCGCTCAGTCGGCCGGTTGCGGTCTCCCTGGCAGACCCCTCTGGGGGTCCTGTCCTTGCTCACTTCTCCACCGTCCTCCCGTGTCCGGCGGCCCCCTCTGGCACCCTGTCTGGTCTTTACCTCCCCTCGTTCTCTACGAACTTGGTGAGTGGTGCTGACCTACAGGATGCGGGGGTTCACCAGTTCACTCCTGCGAGTCAGCGGGTGACCCACTGCACGGACGCTCGGACAGGCCGACACCTGGCCACGTTTACACGTCGGCCGGGGTCGAGCCTGTACACACTGACCACTGCGTCTCCTCCAGTCACTGCGTCTGGTCAGGTAGCTGCGTCGGGTCAGGTGTTTGCTGCAGCGTCCAGGTCTGGTCCTGAGTCTGCCCCCTGTTCGTGTCGCCTCCTGTCTCACGAGACTCTCCTCTGGCACCACCGCCTTGGTCACCCCTCCCTGCTTCGTCTCCGAGGCATGGCCTCCCGTGTCCTTGTCTCTGGTCTTCCCCGGTCCCTCCCTCCCCTTCCTCCGGGGCCTGGCCCTACCTGCGTCCCCTGTGTCGAGGGGCGGCAGCGGGCTGCCCCTCACTCCTCCCAGTTTCCTCCGACAGAGGCCCCGCTGCAGACGCTTCACATGGACGTGTGGGGCCCGCCCGCGTCCGTGGACAGGGTCACGAGCGCTACTTCCTGCTGGTGGTTGACGACTACTCGCGTTACACCACAGTCTTCCCCTTGCGCAGCAAGGGTGATGTCACTGAGGTGTTGATCGCCTGGATCCGCGCAGCTCGTCTCCAGCTCAGGCAGAGCTTCGGCTCGGACTTTCCTGTTCTGCGTCTGCACTCTGACAGAGGTGGAGAGTTCTCCTCTGGCCTTCTGCGAGCCTACTGTCGTGCACGAGGCATCCGCCAGACCTTCACGCTTCCGGACTCTCCACAGCAAAATAGGATTGCTGAGCGCCGCATTGGCATGGTCATGGACGTCGCCCGTACGTCCATGATGCATGCGGCTGCCCCCCATTTTCTGTGGCCGTTTGCGGTTCGGTACGCGGCGCA